CGTCTTCTGCATGATAGCAAGCATGGGAGATGTGCATCTTTCTAGTAACTAAGATGTCAGCAAGTGCTTCACCAGCTGGCACCTACCCAGCCTTTGTGGGGCTTGAACTAAAGCCCCTCTCTGCTGCTCCATCTCTCCCTGATCAGCCTGGGCAGGGCTCGTGGAAGGAGTGAATGACTGAAGGGAATTAATTCAAGGGAAGGAATAATCCTAGGTGGGGGATTGAAGCTGTGTGTATTCCCTGCCTAGTTCACGTGCCTTGTTTAAGACCAGACTTACTCTGGAGCAGTTATTTTTTGCTGCAGTCTTCCAGCAGATCTGCATTTTGGCTAATGAAGCTCCTGCAAACATTCTGCTCAGGACAAAGCTGTCTGCATGGAAGCCACAGCCTGTTGTAAAACTTCATATTGGTGTGGGTTATTTGGGGAAAATGTATAAACACAGGGATCATCTGGTCCCCCTGCCTGTGCTTGCTGTGCTGCTTCCAGTTCCTGTGGGCTGGCTTTGCTGCCGGGTTGGGAGGGGGAAGGGGGAAAGTCCATTTACAGCTGCTAGCCCTGCAGTGCCGACAGAGCTGCTGGGCAGGAGCTGTTCTGGCCTGTCCTGTGGATCAGCTGCACTGCCAGCAAAGTCTGGGTAGCAGCATCTTGGCATCTTGTTGAGGACAGGTCCATGAAACAGCAGAACAAAGCCTTTCTTTTTTCCTGCTCGAGCTATTTTGTACTTCAGTGCTGGAGGATCACCTGGAAATGTGATGTCACATTGATTGCTATTAATCAGTTTGGCCCCATGTCCTGTTTTTTTTGCCTTTCTCTCACACTGTGCAAGAAAAAGCAGTTTGATGGGAAGGTTTGAATCTCTCTCTCTCTGATAACTAAGTGGGCTGCATTGTGTTGCAAAAGCCAACAAAGCAGGCTTAAATACCAGCTCAAAAACTACAGCAAGAGGTCTTTGGACAGCCAGATAGTATTGGCTTGGAAATGGGCAGCAGTGTCTGGATGGAACAAATGAAGATTCAGCTGTTTTTAATAACAGTGCAGCATGTTCTATCTTTCTAGACTTGTTTGATTTAAATTAATGGTAGTTTAACTAGTGTTAAATTGCCCTTAAAAGCAGAAGAACGTTTTGTGTGTAATCAGAGGAGAGAAGGGGAGGAAGATTCCCACCTTTATTTATTTTTTTTATTTCCTATGGAGAAGATGCATTTTGTGTGCTTCAATTTAAGTGCTGGCAGGAGGCCTGGTCTGATGAAGTAGCAGAGAGCCATCAGCTCCCACTGTGTGTTTGAGGCCCTGCTGTCACTCCCTGTTCCGAGGTGCTGGGGCAGTGACAGGCACTGGAGTGGCTGGTCCCCGGGGCTTGTTTTCCAGCAGGGGCTGGCATGTCCTGCTCCAGTGGGTGCTGGAAGTTCTCTGCACTGCAGCTGGGAGGAGTTCCCTGTGCAGCACCACTGGTGGCTGCCTTATGACACCTGCCCTGGATGTCAACTGTGCTCCAGAAGCAGCAGTTTGCCCCCATGGGCACATCTGTAAAGCACAGCAGCCCCTCCCCAGGCCTGAGCTCAGCCTGGGGCTGTGCCTGTTCAGTGACAGTGCTGCAGAGCAGGGCTTACCCTCACAGGCCCCTCAGCTAGACATACACCCTGAGAACAGGTCAAAACAGCTATTACAAAGTGGAGTGTGAAGCAGCAGCAAAACTGTCTGTCTTGCTCAGCTTGCTGAACTGATAAAAAATTACTTATTTCTTCAGCTCATGTGGGGTTGGAGTAATTTCCTGCTAGTTTAGGAAACTACTAATTCTCAGAAGAGCTAAACTATTTGGTGGGGGGAGCAGGTGTGAGGCTGCCTCTTCTGGGGTCTCAGTTTGGATAGGGAGGTGTTCCAATTGCCATACACACCT